GGCTTGCCGAATGTTCAGTGGGAGGTCATTCCAGAGAGAGGGACCAGCAACAGAAAAGGCTCGATCCCCCCTCAGCCTTGGGAGGTCATTCCAGAGAGAGGGACCAGCAACAGAAAAGGCTCGATCCCCTCTCAGCCTCAGCCTAGTTCTCGGTACCTCCAATAATGTCTGGTCCGCCCCCAGGTGTGTAGGGGCGGATGAGCTCTGAGAGGTAAGGTGGCGCGAGGTCATTTAGAGATTTGAAAACAATAGGATCTTGAAAATAACTCTAAAATGTATAGGGAGCCAATGAAGAGATGCCAGAGTAGGAGTTATGTGCTCCCTCTTACAAGTACCAGTCAAGAGGCGAGCAGCGGCATTTTGGACCAGCTGGAGGTGCTTAATGGAGGATTGGCTCACTCCAAAGTAAAGGGCATTGCAGTAATCGAGCCGGCTTTACTTGCTCCCCACATCTCTCGCCGAAGCACCTCACTAACGTGCACAAACATTCTGATCTTGGCCACGTCTGCTACATTGCTAGTATGACATACTCATAATGTTCAAGTGTTGCAAAACACTAAAGGTTTGATGTTCTTTTTAAGTACAATTAGACACCGAAGCTGCTGGGTGTCCTTGCGTGGCTGTCTCATGTGCCTGCATGCAGGGCAAATGATTGGCACGCCCCTCAGTTACGCGTCATGTCTTTCCTGGTCTTCCATATTCATCCCTTTCTTGTTGGTGTTTTTACCATGTAGCTCTTTCAATCTAGCGATCACCTGGCACCGACCAGCACCATTTTGTAAACTCGGGCCAGAAAATGTGCAACTATTCCTGACCATAGCACGGCCATGTGAACTCACCTGAGCTGTACTCCTCGGGTAAAAATAAAGCAATAGTGAATTCAGTCCTTCGTCAAGCTTTACACAACCTTTTAAGTCAAGAGGTAGCTTTACAATTTGGAGTGTTGGTGACCGCAGGAGTAGTTCTTCAGAATGTATACGAATCCAATGCCCTCCAGTGACAGCTCGTGCCTACGAAAAACCTCTCGATCTCACTCAAAAGCTCAAGTGTTTATGACTGCTTGACTCAGCTCGCCCAACAGAAATCCCTCAAAATGACTCTCACTTCTGTACGTATGAGGCTGTTTGGCGGATAACTCGACAGAGAAGCAGGATATCAGTTGCTGGGGTCAGGGCCTCTGTTGAGAAATAGTTCTTCATATGACACGCGTATTACTGTGCAAGGTAAGAAGTAATTATATGTTTAAAATGTTGTGTTTGGTCATGCTCAGCAACATGGAAGTATGTAGGAGGTCTGATATGTTTTTGAGACATGTCGTAATATGGAATACATCATGTATAATCGCAGCAACAGTATTTATTTTTATATGTGTATTTACAAGGCAGGCAGATCGGATCACTGACTTGAATGAACCCAACACGGTATATACTGCTTGCTACATTGTAGCCACAAGCTTCGCTATTTCACCCTCAGGTACCATATTTTTACGACCATAAGGCGTAAGTCATAAAAATGTTCTCCAAAATGGACGGTGCACCTAATAATACGTGCTGCCTTATCTGTGCACTGAGTTCTTCCAAAATCTGTGAATGTCATTGCGTGACTTTGATGAGCGCTGCGCTTGAACGACTGATGTTGTGCCGATGTTGAGGAAAGGCGGATATGACTGATGACAGAATGCGAACGTTAAAGGGGGAAGGGTGCCCGTGAAAGAGGATGCGAAGGGCACGCCCCCCAGTAGGTATATACTGCCTGTATGTTAAAAAAGGACTCGTGGTTTGGGCAATACAGGCATTCATGTTCACGTATTTTTGTGCGAGTGGGATTAAAAGTTTCATTTATGGTACAGACAAATAAAGTTTTATGTTTTGAAAACAAAACGTATTCACAATTGTGAAAATAAAAACTAAATTTGGCATTTTGTTCTATTTGACAGATCAGCCACACAAATTAAAAGATTTTGAGATCCGTACCCGTGTTTGTTTTCACGGGCTGAAGGTTGTTCCAGGAACTGATTTCCATTCGAGAGACAATCACATATTTTATCCATAAATACTGTTCCAAGTCAGACACCGGCTTTTGATTCACATGCTCGGTCGTGAGCTGTTTGATCTCTACAAACAGACCAGTTATGGTTGCCTGCTGAGTCACCATTCCAGTGTTCATCCTGTCCACTAACAGTTTAAAATTCTCCAGTTCCTTCGAAACTTCTTTCAGAGTCATGGTGGTCAACACCGGCCTGTTGCATATCTAGTGTGAATACGAATGGGCTAGCAAGATGAAGCTGCCAAGCCCTGGCTCATAGCTAGCTAAAAATAGCCCGTTTTAATCAAGCCAGACACATCCTCCCTGGGGGACGAGAGCCCGTCGACGCACTCCAAAAGACCTGAACACCAGATTTAGACGACCTCAGTATTCCCAGCCTCGGTAGCCCCTTCGTTTACAGACTTACCGCTAAGTTAGTCGCTTAACACATAAAATGCAGCCTCCTCTGCTAACTGGCTTTTGGCTCATCATTAAGCTTCAGGTGAGATTAATAGCATTGTTGTCGAGCTCCACTTAGTCAGCTGAATAATCGTATTATCCCTAAGCTGCTCTTTCACTGCCCTTTCAACGTGAACTAAACACCCAGCTGTTTCACCCTATGACATTAGCATACACTGTGTATGGGTGTACAAGGGGAGGGGGTGAAGTCCATCAGGTTAACCTGGGGTCATTTGGGGGTGGGAGGAGTCCCTCCTAGTTCCCACTTTTCTGTCAAAATCGTTACCTCTCTGAGCTCCTCCGCCCCGATGCACCTGCCTCAGCTCTGCGGACCAGAAACTATTAGAGGTACCAAACACTAAGCGGAGGCTCAGAGGGGATCAAGCCTTTTCCATTGCTGGTCTCTCTCTCTTTAGAATGACCTCCCACTGAACAATCAGCAAGAACTTCAGGAAATGACCAAAAAGGAAAAACCTTCGCACTAAATTAGCTTATCCAGATTCAGATTCAGAAATCTTTATTTATCCCCGTGGGGCAATTAGAGTTGTGCGAGAGCGTCTTATTACAGAGACAGTCAGAGCAAAGGAAAAACATAGGATGAGAGTAGCTTAGCACTTGAGGTCTTGAGGTAGTGGCTCCAGCATCATCGAAGTATGTTTTTGTTTCAGAGTATCTTGATCAGTGTACTGTAGATCCTGTCCAGCTCCGTTTGTCCTTGGAGACCAAGATTACTTTCTTTGCACACATTCTTTTCCTGGTTGGTGACCTGAACCAGATTTCCGATGGAGAGTGGCATTGATCCTAATCACACAGCTGCTCCAGTTTTTCTGGAAAACCAACATTAGTGATGTAGTGTACAAGAGCAATTGCCAGCTTTCTAGTTGGGTACCTTGCCTCAGGGCACCTCAGCCATGATAGGGCTGCTTTTTGTCTGCTCCTCCTGATCCCTGCGTATGGAATTCAATATGGGCCCCTTTGGGCAAGTTCTGTTCTTAACCAATTCTCCTCATGGATGGATGGATAGAAATTGTCAATTTTTGGGGTTATACAACTTAAGATTTTGGTTCATAGTCTCCTTTGAATAGCAAAGATAGTCTCTTCTCCACCCTTAACCCAAACTAATTTCAAGCAATTTTCCACTGATGTGTGTTTGTGCTTTCAGGAGTCTGTGATTTCAAGTTTTATTCTTTTTGTTTGTTTGTGTGTCTGTGTGTGTTCATGTGGTTTGCAGCTCCTGGATCTGTTTATGGTGTGGGACTGGTCAACTTACCTCGCAGACTACGGTCAGCCGACCTCCAAGTACCTTAGAGTAAACCCAGCCACAGCCCTGACTTTACTTGAGAAGTGAGTGTATCCGACTGAATTTTCTCTGCCATTAGTGGTGCCTTAACTTATGAGTTAAATTTGTGTCAGGTTCATCCTTATAACGCATGACAATTACCAAATCAACTTTTCACATTGAGATGAATGGAAATGCTAATAATTGGTGCCAGCGCTTAAAAAAAAAAAGAAGCTTTTACATGTTTTTTAAAAGGACAACAGCTCTGTACTGTAAATTGTAAATATAAGAAACATAATTAAAAAAGACAAAATGAACTACAGTGTCATACATCCGTATATCCCTTAAAAGGTGTGGACAATTGAGTGCAGTTTCGCGACCCTCTCCAGTTTATTTTCCAAAAACCTGCACTCGCTACACACACACACACACACACACACACACACACACACACACACACACACACACACACACACACACACACACTGTGGTGTGCAAAACTGATTCCTTATCCTTTTGCATGTTTGTCACACTTAATTGTTTCAGATCATCAAACAAATTTAAATATTAGTCAAACATAACACAAGTAAACACAAAATGCAGTTTTAAAATTCAAGTTTTTATTATTACAGGTAAAACAAAACCCAAACCTACATGGCCCTGTGCGAAAAACTGTGTTAACCCCCGAGACGGGATAACTGGTAGAGCCACCCTGAGCAGCAACAACTGCAATCAAGCGTTTGCAATAACTTGTAATGAGTCTTTCACAGTGCTGTGGGGGAATTTTGGCCCACTCATCTTTGCAGAATTGTTGTAATTCAGCCACATTGGAGGGTTTTCGAGCATAAACCACCTTTTTACAGTCATGCTACAGCATCTCATTAGGATTCAGATCAGGACTTTGACTAGGCCACTCCAAACACAGGGATGAACTTGGCATCGAAATTGTCATTCCAAGTTCTGATTCAAACGTTACTCAATTTGTTGCATCAATCACACAGCAATAAAGAGCAAATTTGACTGTGGATAATAATTGCCTCTCCCTCTTGCTCCCTCTTTCTCAAGGATGAAGGACACCAGTAAGAAGAATAATATCTTTGCCCAGTTCAGGAAGAACGACAGAGACAAACAGAAACTGATAGAGACTGTTCTCAAGCAGCTAAGGAGCCTGGTCAATGGCATGTCCTCCTAAGGTCATGTGACACTCATACATGTTCTTAAACTGAAACTGCCAAGACTCAATCAGGCCAACACTTTCATTCAATGAATGAAGTGACCCACTCCCAGGAATATCCAAGCACATAATTTCCAGGGCCCAATTTATTAAAGGTTTACGTGCCCATATATGGGCACACAATTGATTGCTCACCCAAACAGATGTGCAAGTTCGTTCATCGACTAACCTAGCGCACCCAGCATTTGATCTGCCAAATGCACTGAACTGCAGCACAGTTCATTTTTGTATATCACTACCGTCGGGCCGGAACCTCCTCTGTCACAATTGGGTCAATTTAACCCTTTCATGCACCAATAATGATAACCTGTAACCTGATAACATGATAAGCTGTCCACTGTTGTAACCGCTATCCCTGAAAGGGTTAATTTTTATTTTTTTTTTCAAATGATTCACCAATGTGACGTGTCGAAAATGGTTTGCTCTCTTTGACGGTGCAAATTCATGTTTTGGGAGCGACGAGGATTCAGCCCGACGCCAGCCAAAGAGATTCATTTAGCATGCGCATGTGATTGATTCAAGCCCCGAGCTGAATTGCAATGGCTAATTTGGCGTCTTTGAATAATAACAACAAGCGGATTTAAATCAGCACGCAAAGCCATGCCGGCGGAGCGCAGCAAAACGCAAGTGCAAAACCTGCTTTAACGTACGTTGCTCCCGACACACTTCGACACCTGTTGCCAATATCGCGTGCAATCTGTTCGAGTGAGTGAACATGCAATCTAGTGCCCACTATTTGGGATCTTTGTAAATATGGCCCATAGAGTGATTTGACATGTGCTACTGTTATGACACACGAGACAGAGCAATACACGTACAAAATGTGCAGTGAACAAACTTAATACTACATACATAAAACTACATGACTGAATACGGCACCTAAAATATAATACAGAACACACCAAAAAAATGTGTGACTGATTACCAGGATCAGCAGCATTTTAATTGCTATCATAATAATAATAATAATAATAATATAAACGAGTTTATTTTTTATCTTTTCGAGGCTGCAAGAAAAGTGAAACAAAAAAGTACTGAGACAATGACAGCAATGAGAGGCAAAGCAACTCAGATTAATGGGAAAAATATGTACATATATCATTCCGAGCTTTGAAATCCATGGCGAAACCTCTCTCAAATCGTCTATAGGAGTTATATTCTTTCTTTATCTGTATTCTTTTGAGCCCATTAAATCACAAACAGGTTGACTTCCTCATGCAAAGCTCATGAACGTTTTTTTCTTCCTTCTAATACACCGCTGCAGAAGGCTATTTGAAGAATGTTCAATCATGTCCATGATGTACAAAAAAAAAAAAAATAATGGATGATGATGTCTTGAGGGACAGAAGTTCATTTAGAAAAAAAAGCCTTTTTCTTAATTGTTCGTTTTAAAAAACATTTTGCGTATGTTTGAATTTCACTGACTGCCAAATTTGACATTTTTGTGTTTCATAACCCGCTTCCTGTAAGCCTGTTTAAATGGATGAGCAATGCATTAAAAGGGAGTTTTACATATTTGCTTATTCTGAGCATCACATTTTTTTTAAATAAATGCATATTTATTGATAAGGGGGGTAGGGGCGGGGGGGGAGTAAATAAAGCAGGGTCTTCCCAAAAAGCCTGCTGGGAATCCAAAGAACCGAACAAGGTGGCCACTTGTTATCAGTCGCGAAAGCTGATGAAGTGTGCCCATTTCGATTTAAGGCTTTAATAAAATAGCGACTATGTTAAATCTGAGAACTGATGCTTCAATAAAATCGACCAGAATCATAGACTTGGAGAAACTGTTGATACTGTACTCATAAAATCAAGCACTTTTCCTTTTCTTCAATCTGTACCAGCGCCCCCTGAAGGTGAAACATCATATTGCACGTTTTGATTCAATTAACTGTTGCGAAGCAAACTTCGGCCCAGAATGCTCACCAACTGATACAAATTCTTAAATGAAGAACATTACACATATGAAGTGAAATGCATTTTTGACCAATACAGTGGTCCCTTCAAATGGCATAGTGGACAAAAATGAAGGTCCAAGGTGTGCGTGCCTGCGTGTGTGTGGGTGTGTTATGACAAATGATGTATACTTGTATATTTAACAATTCAAAAACTTTTAAATTTTACATTTTGAATTCTCTATTTTTGTTCCTCAGGGTGAAATGAGGCTTTTGAATCTGTATATTCATAAAGCACAGCAATAATGACCTGGCTCCTTTGACAGCCTTGCTGGCAGGTTTAACGCTGAATCCTGCCTGCTGACGATTACCGTTTTTTTGTAATGCCATGCATCTGTCGTTATTCTGTGCTCTCAGTGTAGTTTTACTGTAGCATTTGGCTTCTTTTTAGAATTATGTTTTTCATATTCGTTTTGTACTGTACACTCCCCCTAAATTGAATGGAGCAGTGTGGCCATATACTTAAAAGTTTAAAAAAAAAACTTTGGGTCAAAAGATCAATGTAAGACATCAGTCAACGTTTCACTTGTTATATTTCCAGGTAATCTTTTAGAATCGGATGCACTTTTTTGTTTGGACACGCCCGTCGTTCATGTGAGCTAAAGTAACGGAATGTGTGACTGAATTGTGTTTTCATTGATACTTGTGCTTGCCTATGAATTTGCTTCTTTTACGTATACAGTGGTACCTCTACTTACGAACGCCTCTTCATACGAAATTTTTAAGTTACGAAACGCCTCAACGGGAAAATATTGCCTCTTGTTACGTAAGAAGTTTCAAGATACGAAAAGTAAAAAAACAGTATGTGCTGCTACTCGCAGCTCAGAGTTTCCTGAATGCAATATACTTATAGCTGCTCTGCCATTGGCTACTACCGAGCATCATCCTGGCATCCCATTGGCTAAGAGGGACCTCGACCGTGCGTGTCTGTGTGTGTGGATAGAGAGATACGTGTCTATGCAGGTGTTCCGATAGTTTGATGTAAATGTGAATCACCCAGAAAAAGTGTTCAGCAATTGGGCGATCGCTCACTATGTTGATGTTTGCCTCGGACATTTTCGAAGGATTGTTAAAGGCCGACAAAAGCAAACGTTCTTGACAGGCAAAAACCACTTCTGAGAGAGAACATGAACTAAAGATGAGCATGCAGTTAAAAGTTCAATGACCATCATTTTTATTCTTTGTTTTTTACATTATGCACAACTCTCATTTTTTTGTACAATAATCTAATTGTAACACGTATTTGTAACATATTTTGATGCATTTTTATGCTTTCGTAAACATTTATGTCTGAATTTTGAGGGGGGTCTTGGAACGGATTAGAGCATTTACATGGAAAATGCGTCTCTACGAACAAAATTTTATAGTTAAGAAATTTCTTCCACAACCAATTAATTTCGTAAGTAGAGGTACCACTGTAATCTATAATGTAATACCAATTGTTTATCCGATCCAGATGTGGAAATATATGGAAGTAAACGTTGATAGATTTATTGGTCTTTTGTCTCAACATCATTGGTGTGAAATATGTTTTCAGTCGACGGCAAAAATATCGGCCCCGTTGTTCCAATACCTTTTGAGGTGAGTGTAAATGCTTGTCTGGTGCATAACTATACATTTTAAAAAGCACTTTTCAATATCTTTAGAGGTTCATGCTGACCTCAACTATTTTTATTTTTTTTAATTTTTGGGAAGCAATTGAAAATAATGTCAGCAGTAAAATTATGAAATCATCCTCAACTCATTTGCATGGTTTAGCTAAGAATGCTATGTCGGGATGTACATTTGAAAAAAAAAAAAAAAAGATGTTTATGGACAGATGTTTATGTACAATTACTGAAAAAACGTTTGTCATCCTGCTCAAAAAGATTTTTTTTTTTTAATATATTTTGTGTGATGTGCTCAATTTTAATTCATCGGTAAATTCTCATTCTTGTTAAATACAAAGCTGGTGTGTCAATGATGACGAGATTTCAAAGTTCGGTGAAATAAAAATGAAATTTACAGGAAAAACTTGACTGTGGTCAGTGTGTCAATATTAATTTGCCGCAAGTGTAAAAAAGATTGATAGGTCCAATCAATCTTTTTTACACATACTGTACCAGCAATAAAAATACCAATGGTGTTTCATTTCCTCCAAAGCTTTGTTTTATTTCTGAGAGAAGATATTTTTGGAATGCGGAGAGGAAGCCAGAGGACAGAGAAAAACCCACAAAAGCGCTGGAGAACATGAAAAACACACAATGGGTCTAACCAAGAGTCACACCCTGAACAGATGCTAGACACTCATTCCACTATGCTGCCGGGAAAATATAAAAAAAATAAAAATAAAAAAAAAAACTAATTGTTTTCATGTTTTGGCTCTATCAACTGTTTACAATCAAAAGGAAAAAGTACCCCCAAAAAGTAATGCAAAGGTAACTTATCAATGCATTGTCTTTATAATTGTTATATTTTAAATTTCTGTTTTGTTTACATAACCTCGATCGGCTCCATTTTTTTTTTTCACAACTACAACTGCTAAGTAAACAGAACATTGGTGGTGGATACACAAAAAAAAATGTGGCCTCCAGTCTTAAAAGTCATTCTTTACATTTCATCAGAATAAATGATAAATAAATGAATAAAGTAGCTGAGGAGCCAATAGTTGAAGAAAACATGACACGGTATAAAATGTTTAGTTTTTGAGTCGTTACGTGTACAACGGCACAGGTACAATTACCGTATTTTCTGCATTATAAGGTGCACCTAAAAGCAATCAATATTCTCAAAAGCCGACAGTGCGCTTTTTAATCCGACGTGCCTTCTATCCTCTCTGTCATGGATTACTGTCATGCACTTTACTTTGGAGTCAGCCAATCCTCCATTGAGCATCTCCAGTTGGTCCAGAATGCTGCTGCTCGCCTCTTGACTGGTACTCGTACGAGGGTGCACATTACTCCTACTCTGGCATCCCTTCACTGGCTTTCTATACATTTTAGAGTTCTTTTTAAGATCCAATTATTTGTTTTCAAATCTTTAAAAGGCCTCGTTCCACCTTAGCTCTCTGAGCTCCTCCGCCCCCACACACCTGTCCGATGCCTCAGGTCTGCGGACCAGACATTATTAGAAGTACCAAGAACTAAGCGGAGGCTGAGGGGATCGAGTCTTTTCCGTTACTGGTCCCTGTCTTTGGAATGACATCCCACTGAACGTTCGGCAAGCCCCCTCGCTGCCCATCTTTAAAACTTGTCTCAAAACTCATTTG